AAAAAAAAAAAAAAATTACACTAAGCCTAAGAACATGGTTCTTAGCTGGGCACTGGTGGCTCATACCTGTAATCCTAGCTACTCAGGAGGTTGAGATCTGAGGATCGTGGTTCAAAGCCAGCTAGGGCAGGAAAAGTCTGTGAGACTCTTATCTCCAATAAACCACTCAGAAAACCGGAAGTGGCACTGTGGCTCAAGTGGTAGAGCACTAGCCTTGAGCTGAAGTGCTGAGGGACAGCGCCCAGGCCCAGAATTCAAGCCCCATGACCAACCCAAAACAAAAACAAACAAAAAAACCATGGTTCTCTAGCATCTTTAGTACCCATTATTGGCAGGTTTGCGCTGACAGGAAGGAAGGTCAGCATCACCAACAGTTAATAGAAGGCAATGCAGAAGCAGATACAAAATGGGAACTACAAATATGGAGTATTCAGAAGACATACCAAGGAGACTCTCGCCCCAGCATTAATCTTTTGTGTGTGTATGTGGTTTTTTTTTTTTTTGGGGGGGGGGGGTCCGGACGTGGGACCTGAACTCTGGGCCTGGGCGCTGTCCCTCAGCTCTTCAGCTCAAGGCTAGCGCTCTACCACTTGAGCCACAGTGCCACTTCTGGCTTTTTTCTTTTTGCTTATGTGATACTGAGGAATAGAACCCAGGGCCTCATGCATGCAAGGCAAGCACTCTACCACTGAGCCACCTTCCCAGCCCCACCCCCAGCATTTATCTTAAACTCAACAAGAAACGACAAATGTGCCAAATAGTTCAATCTCTGCCCGCCTTTGTTGGGGGGGGGAGCGGGACAGGACGACAGCAACACCTCAGTTGCTTTTTCCTTCTGGACACTTCGAATCGGGACGCACCGGTCTTGTTTCCCCAGTAAGAATTAATTCTCAGAAAACCTATGTCAAGTTTGCAGCCCACATGTAGCAGCTGGAGAGGACCACACAGAATCTGTCTTACATAAAGTCTCTCCTCTGGTTTCAATCTGTTCGCCTTTCTCCCTAAACCTTCCCGAGAGCATCACAAGCTGTCACTGATCACAAAGAGACAAAGGCCAACTTTGATGCTGGAGGGAGGGGCAAGGGGGGGCGAGATGGGAATCAAGGCTCACCCAGGTCTAGATGCAAAGAGAATAAAGGCTCTCATCCCAGCTATGGACCCCTAAAAGTAGGAGGATCACGGTTTAGGTGCACACCAGGCCAAAAGCAAGACTTTATCTCAAGATAACCAGTGCTTGGCACTAGAGCACTTGCCTTACAAGGATCTGAGTTCAAACCCTAGTACTGAAGATAGTAATGACTGCCCCATGAGTGTGTTCAACATTTCACGTGTCGGTTATTGTGAATGACGAGAAGGTATTTAAAGGTAGAGCTAAGTTCATAGCATCTTTGGGGGATTGCATACTGTCTCAAATAATTGAAGCCAGAAATATACTTTGTGAGGATAACAAAATCTGACTTTGTATTCCCTTCATTTTATCACTTGTCAGAAAGAAAAGTGGTGATGCTGTTGCGAAATGGAAACACAACAGGATATAACACAACACAACACAGGGCCCCTGAATATCACACTGAAAGGAAAATGAGTGGAAAAAGAAAGGCTTCAAAGGCTCCAGAGGCTTCAGGGCAGGGAAAACAGATGCGCGCATTCAGCATTAGTCACAAACCAACAGTGCGTCAGTACGGGACAAGGGGAGGTGGTGTAATGTCAGGTGATCTGAACAGGGCGGAGGCAGGGAAGCCTCGATGTGATGTCTACAAACGTTCTTCCTGCCAAAAGTGGGACAGAGCTGCCAAAAGCCTAATGCAGTATTAAGTGGCATTAATTAAGGTATTATTTGGGGCGGTAACAACTCAGCTCTGTGCTAGTCAGAGCACATATGAAGTCATGCATTCAACTACGGGTTTCAGGACTGCGATAGCCTTGAGGGAACAGCTTGTCTCAGGTTTATCCGGCTGCAATGACTAAAAACCTGGTTAAATGTAGACAGCAGCTGTTTAAATGCTGGAGATGGACCAACCAGGAAGCACTGAGGAGCCACAAGCCCTGTACACACTGCCCCTCTGGCAGGGGTAAAAGCCAATCAGAAAGCAGGTACTCAAAGCCTAAAGCCTTATTTTTGTGGACAGTAGGAGCTGGACAGGGAGGGGAAGATCTAGAGAGAAGAGGGAAGGTGGCAGGCAAGTGGCTGAGCCTAGCATTAGGTATATAAGAAGGGTCTGCGGGCCACAGTTCAAGATGGAAGGAAGTGAACAGAGGAGAGAGCTTTGAATGGGAGACCAGCACAGTGACCACCCACTGAAACAAAAGGGCAATACTCTTTTTTTTTTTTTTGGGGGGGGGGAGTCCGGTCGTGGGGCCTGAACTCTGGGCCTGGGCGCTGTCCCTCAGCTCTTCACCTCAAGGCTAGTGCTCTACCACTTGAGCCACAGCGCCACTTCCGGCTTTTTTCTTTTTGCTTATGTGGTGCTAAGGAATCGAACCCAGGGCCTCAGGCATGCAAAGGCAAGCGCTCTACCACTGAGCCACCTTCCCAGCCCCAGCAATACCCTTTAATAGGAATATAATTCATGTCTGGGCGCTGGTGGCTCATGCCTGTAATCCTAGCTACTCAGGGGGCTGAGATCTGAGGATTACGGTTCAAAGCCAGCCCGGGCAGGAGAGACCCTGAGACTCCTATCTCCAATAAACCACCAGAAAACCGGAAGTGGCGCTGTAGCTCAAGTGGTAGAGCACTTGCCTTGAGCTGAAGAGCTGAGGGACAGCGCCCAGGCCCAGAGTTCAAGTCCCACGACCGACAAAAAAAAAAAAAAAGGAATATAATTCACAATTTCTACAGCTCAATGTCTCCACAGTATGACCCCCAAGTCCTAAGCTGGTGAGTCTCAAAATACGGCCTGGGTAACTCTAAGAGCCCCAGGATCTCAGGGGTTGTTTTTGTGCAGGGTGGGGGGTGAGAGAGGGTGGGAGGGTGGAAGAGTGTGAACTCAGAGCCTAGGCCCTGTCCCCTGAGCTTTTGTGCTATGGGCTAGCACTCTACCACTTGAACCATGGCTCTATTTCCAGCTTTTTCGTGGTTCATTGGAGATAAGAGTCTCATAAACATGCCTGCCCGGGCTGGCTTTGAACCCCAATCCTCAGTTCTCAGCCTCCTGAGCAGCTGACAAGCATGAGCCACCAGTGTCCAGCTCTCAGGGGATTTAAACCATTTTCACAGCAACACTTACGATGCTGTTTTTTTTCTCTGCCCCATCCCCCAAGAATCTAGCAGAACTTGTCAGTGGCTCCAGGACTTCTAAGGAATCCGCCATCATCCAACAACAGAGAACACACACGCTTCTCCTCCCATCATTCCTATGCGTTTTGTAGGTAGAGTCCTTTAGGAATACTCACGCATTTGCACAGAGGTTGCCTTGTTTTTTCTCAGTATGATGTAGTAGTGTTTCTTCACATTTACAAGTGCTCTAAGTTCTATGTGTTCACTATTGCCCAATAAAGCTGGCTTGAAATCCCACAGTTCAGGGCTAGAAATGTGGCTTAGTGGTAGAGTGCTTACCTAGCACGTGTGAAGCCCTGGACTCGATTCCTCAGTACCACACACATAAGAAAGCTGGAAGTGGCACTGTGGCTCAAGTGATACAGTGCTAGCCTTGAGCAAAAGAAACTGAGGGACAGTGACCAAGCCCAGAGTTTAAGCCTCAGGACTGGCATGCCTCATGCATATGAGGCAAGCTCTCTACCACTGAGCCACCTTCCCAGGCCCAGAACTCACTTTTTCAACAAAGCTCATTCCTAGGTCTAAAGACGCTAAAGGAGAAGAGAACTTCTCTGTGGAAAAGAGTGATCTCTGCTTAAAAAAAAAAACCCACACTGGGGCTGGGAAGGTGGTTCAGTGGTAGAGTGCTTGCCTTGCATGCATGAGGCCCTGGGTTCGATTCCTCAGCACCACATAAGCAAAAAGAAAAAAGCCAGAAGTGGTGCTGTGGCTCAAGTGGTAGAGCGCTAGCCTTGAGCTGAAGAGCTGAGGGACAGCACCCAGGCCCAGAGTTCAGGCCCACGACTGGACCCAAAAAAAAAACCCACACTGGAAAACTATCAAGAAGCACAACAAGGGGCAAGCTGCCTTCCTCTGGAGCTGCAGGTGTCGGTGACTGACGTGCTCCTGGGGAAGGGTGGTGGCAGCCATTTTGAACTGAGAGGATGGCAAGCTGGATTTGACCTTGAACACAGGAGTAATGAGTTCAAAGCAGCGACCTAAGCCTTCTAAGCTCAACCACTTTATGACTTTACTTGATGAATTATTCTACTGCTTAAAAAAGTATATATATAGGGGCTGGGAAGGTGGCTCAGTGGTAGAGCGCTTGCCTTGTATGCATGTGGCCCTGGGTTTGATTCCTCAGCACCATATAAGCAAAAAGAAAAAAGCTGGAAGTGGCGCTGTGGCTCAAGTGGTAGAGCGCTAGCCTTGAGCTGAAGAGCTGAGGGACAGTGCCCAGGCCCAGAGTTCAGGCCCCATGACTAGACCCCCCCCCAAAAAAAGTATATATATTTGAGGGGCTGGGAAGGTGGCTCAGTGGTAGAGCGCTTGCCTTGCATGCGTGAGGCCCTGGGTTCAATTCCTCAGCACCACATAAGCAGAAAAAGCAGGGAGTAAGTGGCGCTGTGGCTCAAGTGGTCCAGCGCTAGCCTTGAGCTGAAAAGCTGAGGGACTGCGCCCAGGCCCAGAGTTCAGACCCAGGACTGACAAAAAAAAATTATACATACACAATATAATATTTTATATATATATATATATATATATTTATATTTGAAAAGTAACTCAGTATGTAAGAACAGCTAAGTATTTTGATAGGACGGAATCCATGGAGCTTGGGAAAAGGATGCTGAACGACATGGAAATCACTGAGACTACTGCTCGATAAATACCCACAACACTTAGTCCTAAACCCCCCAGCACTTACCCTGTAGAACCACCCAGCCTGTCTCACAGCAATACTTACAGGTGCTACTATTTTTCCTGTCTGACCGACTTGCATGTCATTGGGGACAAAGCCAGCATCCACAGCAGCACGGGAGGCGCCAACTACGGGAAGAAAATTGTCATTCTTTTCCAGCTGTTATTCAACTACAGGCTCTTCACTGATGAGAAATTGCAAACCAAGACAGTAACACAGTGCAGTTGGAAACATTTTGTGTGAAGAACTTGGGTCAAAGTAGTAGAGAGCTAGCCTTGAGTGAAAAAGCTCAGGGACAGCACCCAGGCCCTAAGTTCAAAGCCCACGACCAACAAAAAGAGGGGAATATCTTGCTATTAAAGAAAAAGTAACTTACCTGCAGCATGTAGCTGATCTGCCAAGTCATATAACAACTTAAAATTCTCTCCACTCTTCAAACCCCGACCTTGTTGGAGAGGAGAGAGAGAGAGAGAGAGAGAGAGAGAGAGAGAAACTAAATGTCATCTCCAGTCTATAAAACTTTTTGCTCTTTTTCTTTTTGCCGGTCTGGGGCTTGAACTCAGGGCCTGGGCACTGTCTCCAAGCTTCTTGTGCTCAAGGCTAGCACTCTACCACTTGAGCTACAGAGCCACTTACAGATTTTTTATTAATTACACATAAGTCTCATGGGCTGAGAATATGGCTTAGTGGCAAGAGTGCTTGCCTAGCATACTTGAGTCCTCAGATTCAATTCTTCAGTATCACATAAACAAATAATATTAATAATAACAATAATGATAATATAATAATAATAAAGATGTCTCATAGACTTTCTTTCCCAGGCTGACTGGCTCTACACCACGATTCTCAGATCTCAGCCTCCTGAGTAGCTAGGATTACAGCCATCCACACTGGCTAAAACTTTTGTGCTTTTGTATACCTGAATGCATCTTCCAGTTACACAGCTGCCATATTCAGATCTTCCGCTCTGCTATAAAATTTTCTCTGAAGCCGAGTGTCAATGGCTCATGCTTATGCCTGTAATCCTACTCAGGAGGTTGAGATCTAAAGATCCCAATTCAAAGCCAGCCTGAACAGTGAAGTCCATGAGACTCCCATCTCCAATTAACCAATAAAGAGCTGGAAGTAGAGCTGTAGCTCAAGTGGTAGAGCACTTGCCTTGAGCTGAAAAGCTGAGGCACAGCACCCAGGCCCAGAATTCAAGCCTACGAGCCCCTGCCCCCATACTCAACCCCCAAAGATAAAGATCAATATTCCCTCTTTTTTTGGTCAGTCATGAGGCTTGAACTCTGAGCCTGGGTGCTGTCCCTCAGCTCTTCAGCCCAAGACAAGCACTCTACCCCTTGAGCCACAGCGCCACTTCTGGTTTTCTGGTGGTTTATTGGAGATAAGCTCATGGATGTTCCTGCCTAGGCTGGCTTTGAACAATGATCCTCAGATCTCAGCCTCCTGAGTAGTTAGGGTTACAGATGTGAGCCACTGGCGCCCAGCTAGCCTTTAAAAAAAAAAAAAACAAGACAGCCAGATAGCTATAAAGTCTTTTAAAGAAAGAAACAATAAACAATATAGCTAGGTACAGTGACTCACAACTATAATCCCAGCTGCTCAGGAAGCCAAGATCACAATTCAAAGCCAGCCAGGACAGGAACATCCAATGAGACTCTTCATGCCAATGAACCAGCAAAAAGCCAGAAGTGGAGCCGTGGCTCATTGAGCAAAAAAGCTTAGGGACAGAGCCTGGGCCCAGAGTTCAAGCCCAGAAGCATACTAACAGTTTTGGCGTCAATTTTGAAGACACTTGCCAAGCTCTCGTCCACAGAGACCTAGACACCTGATGGCCCTGAGTTTCCCAGGTTCACTGTCCCCGCAGAACAAAGTGAGTGCAGGGTAAGACAAGACCACTCGTGGCTGTCACGGGGATGAGATCTGCCCTGCACCCCCACCTCCACCCCGCTGTCAGAGACAAAGATGTGTGACCATGGAGGATGCTCCTAACTTCGGGGTCCTCGTTGGTAAATGGGAATGAAACCTGAGTTGTAATATTTGGAACAAAAAACAAAAAGCAAACCAACAACCTGTCCTCCAGGTTGGGAACAGAGCTCAGTGGTAGAGCTCATCTACCATTCGCAGGCTCCCCAGTTCAACCCCCAGCCCCACCCGAACAAAAAATAACACAAAGCAGGATGACTGTACCCCATTAAGGGTGAGTGTCACACAGTTTGCGTCATCTTTTCACCTCAGCATGGCACTCACCTCCGGACACCACCACTTTGGCACCTGTGAGCTCTGGCCGGTCACTCTTGGTTAACTTCTGGTCCAGCCACTCTGACGCTCCCACCGGTGAAGGGCTTGAGACTGCACATTGTGACAAAACCAGGACTAAATATCAGGCTGCAGGATGAGCGTTACTCTTACAAAAGAAACACACAAACTTCTATAAGGACGTACAAAACTATCCCTGGAGACAGACATTACTCATTATTAGGACATTTCTGTGCTCTGGAGTCCACCTTCTTTGATTATGGGAAGACCAGAGAGAAAAAGATCCTGTCTAGGTTTTGCCTCACTGGCTCTACAACTTTGGAGAAGTCAGTTCATCCTTGGATTTGTCTATAAAAACCATGTAACTCAGCCGGGGGCCAGTGGCTCCCATCTGTCATCCTAGCTACTCAGGAGGCTGAGATTGAGGACTGTGGTTCAAAGCCAGCCCAGGCAGGAAAGTCTGTGAGACTCTTATCTCCAATGAACCACCAGAAAACCAGAAATGGCTCTGTGGCTTAAGTGGTAGAGCACTCGCCTTGAACTGAAGAGCTGAAAGACAGCATCCAGGCCTACAGTTCAAGCCCCACAAGTGACAAAAAACAAACAAAAAACCCACATAACTCTAAATACAGGGTTCAAATAAGATAAATATATATATGTTCAAATGTTTATTATTATTTACATTCATCTATTATACTGAGTCACTTAAATATTCTTCTGACAAGAAAGTCTTAACATGTACTGAGTGCTGGCAGCTCACGCCTGTAATCCTATCTACTCAGAAGGCTGACATCTGAGGATCATGGTTCAAAGACAGCCTGAGTGGGAAAGTCCATGTGGCTCATCTCCAAAGCCAGAAATGGAGTTGTGGCTCAAGTAGTAGAATGCTAGCAAAAAAGCTTAGGGACAGCACCCAGGCCCTGAGTTCAAGCTCAGGACCTTCCCCACCCCCCAAAAAAGTAATGTTACTACGAATGTGACTGATGACCCTAACAGACTCTCTCTCCCATTCTCTTGATCACTAAACCGTCCTAGTACCAAAGGTGATGAGAAATGGACATAAACTGTAATGATCCCTTAGCTCTATATAACCCTGGGAATGAATGTCACCCGGCTTGAACTTCCAAACACTATGCTAGAATTTTACCCAGAGGTCATCATCTCTTCCTCTAGAAGGATGTGTGAAGTAAAAAAGACAAGAGGAGTTTAACACACTTACCCTTCTCTGAGCCAGCACTGCCTCCACTCGCCGCTGCAGCTTCAAAAGATGTTCCTCGGACGGAAAACACCTTCACTTTCTCATCACACTTCACGGTGCACAGCGCATTGCCTGAAACACAGCTCATTTGCTAAAGCAACAGTGCGAGGCAATATCAGGAATATTCCTTTCAGGCTCAAGTTTTATTTCTTGAGCTGGTTGCTTTCTACCTTGACCCAGTAGGGGAACAACAGGATCATCTTAAAAATCTGACAGGGGTCATCTTAAAAATCTGACAGGTAGCCGGGCGGCGGTGGCTCACGCCTGTAATCCTAGCTACTCAGGAGGCTTGAGATCTGAGGATCGCAGTTCAAAGCCAGCCCGGGCAGCAAAGTCCGTGAGACTCTTATCTCCAATAAACCACTAGAAAACCAGAAGTGGCGCTGTGGCTCAAGAGGTAGAGCACTCGCCTTGAGCTGAAGAACTCAGGGACAGCGTTCAAGCCCAGAGTTCAAGCCCCTCAACAGACCCCCCCCCCCAAAAAAAAAAAAATCTGGCAGGTGACCAGCAGACACCATGGCTCACATCTGTCATCCCAGTTACTCGGGAGGGTGAGATCCAAGGATCATGGTTCAAGGCCAGCCCAGGCAGGAAGTTCCAGGAGACTCTTATCTCCAATTAACTACCAAAAAAGCCAAAAGTGAAGCTATGGCTGAAGTGGTAGAGTGCTAGCCTTGAACAAAAAAGTTCAGAGCCAGCATCCAGGCTGAGTCTAAGCCTCAGGACCAGAAGCAACTGGGACAGCCAGCCACAGAAAGGATGGGAGCACCCTGTGAGAATATGAAGCTGCTTTCTCCAAACAATGCAACCAGTAACCGAAGTGATCCGCAATACCTTCCTGAAAATGTGCGTAAACAAGATCAGATGTGCCCAGATGTTTTAAGGATTTGAGACATTTCTTACAGATTAGCAATCACTTGAAGGCTATGACTAAATATTTCCCCTCAGACGTTACTAAGGATAAAAATTTTGAGGGCTGGGAAGGTGGCTCAGTGGTAGAGCACTTACCTTGTATGCATGAGGCCCTGAGTTCGATTCCTCAGCACCACATAAGCAAAAAGAAAAAAGCCAGAAGTGGCACTGTGGCTCAAGTGGTAGAGTGCTAGCCTTGAGCTGAAGAGCTAAGGGACAGCGCCCAGGCCCAGAGTTCAGGCCCCAAGACTGGATCCAAAAAAAAAAAAAAAAATTTTTTTTTTGATTTGAGAAATGTCCACTTACATTGAAATGCAACTTTAATCAGAAAGAACGAAGAGTTTACTGCCTTGCACCAACCCCACTAGAGACCAATGTGCTTAGAAAAGATCAATCAGGCCGGGCGCCAGTGGCTCACACCTGTAATCCAGCTACTCAGGAGGCTGAGATCTGAGGATCTCGGTTCAAAGCCAGCCCGGGCAAGGAAGGCTGTGAAATTCTTATGTCCAATAAACCACCAGAAAACTGGAAGTGGTGCTATAGCTCAAGTGGTAGAGCGCCAGCCTTGAGCTGAAAAGCTGAGGGACAGCACCTAGGCCCAGAGTTCAAAGTCCCACGACCAACAAAAAAAAAGAAAAGAAAAGATCAATCAGTGCTCGCTTTGGCAGCACATACACTAAAATTGGAATGATACAGAGAAGCTTAGCATGGCCCCTGCGCAAGAATGACACGCCAATTCATGAAGCGTTCCATATTTTAAAAAAAAAAGAAAGAAAGAAAAGATCAATCAGCTAGAGACCCTGACCTGAATTCCTTAGCGCGTATGGAAATGGAGAAGCAAAGACTGAGAATATTATCTTTAAAAAAGTTTTGCTTTTTCCAGATGCTATTTACCAACCATACGGAATAGTGAATCTAATTCTGTCTGACCGCAGGACCAACAGGGCCAGTCAGGAATGCTGTGCCCAGGATGCATTAGAGAGAACTCCAGGTCACCACCCATCAGCAATTCTACACCAGGACTTTCCTGGAAACCTTTACGATGTCCACTTACAGCAATTGTATGGCTTGTTTAAAATACTATCTTTAAGCCAGGCACCAGTGGCTCATGCCTGTAATCCTAGCCACCCAGGAGGCTGAAATCTGAGATTTAAGCCAGCCCAGGCAGGAAAGTCTGTAACACTGAGGTTCAAGGCCCAGGGCCAGTGCGCACATGTGTGCACACAAGCATACACATGCGCGCGCACAAACACACACAATCTTTAAGTTTTCTTTATACCCTTACCTAAGATTTAGCTGCTTGTCTCCCTTGGGTACTCACCTGCATAAATAGTTCTTACAAATGTGTCAGGTGACTTGATTGCAATGATATCAGAAATTGGGGCAACATCAAGTTTAGCTGCTACTCTGGGCAACAGGTTCTGAAAGAAAAATGAACAGTGAGTCAAGTACATTCATGCGGAGGAAGGCCAGGAACCCACAGTGGCATTATCCCAAGGCCTATTCTGCAGTCACTGTGATCCACGTTTTTTTCTGCCTCCCATGCAAACTAGACACAAAGCAACTTTGAGATTAGCGCAGAGCACACTAGAGCTTTACAGCAATTAGAACCCACCTTCATTCACTGTGCTAAAGTATGAGATATAGTTGCTTTGACAGATAACCCATTACAAAGTATGACAACTACAGACCATTGAATTTAGATAAAAACAAAACATTTTAGAAAAGTAGGAAAATCATGAAAAAGTAGTAAATTGGTTTGTTCCTCCCTCTCCTCTGTTCCTTCCTTCTTTCCTCCCTCCATCCCTCTCTTCTTTCCTTTGCCAGAAAAAGGGTTATTTTATATACATATACATACATGTATATTATGTAATATATACATATATATACATATATATTATATATTTACTAGTGGATATAAAAAGAAAAGGTGGAGCTGGGAAGGTGGCTCAGTGGTAGAGCACTTGCCTTGCATGCCTGAGGCCCTGGGTTCGATTCCTCAGCACCACATAAGAAAAAAGCCGGAAGTGGCGCTCTGGCTCAAGTGGTAGAGCGCTAGCCTTGAGCTGAAGAGCTGAGGACAGCGCTCAGGCCCAGAGTTCAGGCCCTACGACCGGACCCCCCCCCCAAAAAAAAGGTTTCAAACAGACATTTCGTCTTTTGTTGACAATGATGTTACATAAAATGATCAAAATTATGCTCAGTAAGGCAATGAGCGTGCATGACCTCAGCCAAGCAGAAAGCACAGACAGGCAGGAGGATCAAGTTACAAGGCCAGCCCGGGCAGAAGTTAGTAAGATCCTATCTCAAAAACAAAATACCCCACCAGGTGGCACACCTCTCCCAGCTCCACAGAAAGAAGCAGGAACATCAATATTGAAGCCCAGCCCTGGGAAAAGCACAAGACTTGATCTGAAAAGCAAAAAGACTGAGTGTGGCTCAAATAGTAGAGCACTCACCTAGAAAGCATGAGGCTCTGAGTTCAAACTCCAGAACTCTAAAACTAGAAAACGATTAAACTGACCTGACTACCAGCCTATGTATTATGTGAAATAGGAAAGCTGAATCTCCACTGACTTCTACAAAGAGCTGACTCCCCGGCACCTGCTGAGCTTGGTGTGTGACTCGGAGGCTGGCAGGCATGCTCATAACATCCTGACGCTAACACTCAAGTTCCTTTCCCTGTTCTGCCCCCATCCCTCTCTTAGTTGCTCAAAATTCTCCAGAATCAGCCTATAATTACTCCATTCTGCACCTTCCAACATGCATGTCTGATCACATTACATGAGCTTCCATTAGCATTCTAAAACTATTGTCGTGTTTTAAAACACTTTTAATATGCATGCTGAAAGACCCCTTAATCAGGTCTGCCAGCACCCTGAGGATAGTGTTTGGTTATCCTGGATCTATTAAGTGGCCCCAGTCAGACACAGACACAGTCTGAATTAATCTCCTTCCTCCGACGTTTCCAGAAGGAAAGGTTTAGGTTTTCACTATCATTACCTACATTATATAGTAATCCCTTTCAACCACTTAAAAACAAGTTACTAGCTGGAAGATAGTTTTGCTATTCAGTTAGTGACAGACAGTGTTTGCCTAGCAAGCAGCAAGGAGCAAGCACTGGGCTCCTACTCAGTACCACAGAGAAAAGAAAAGAAAAAAAGAGCGATTTGAAAGTATTACAATTTGGAGCCAGGCACTGGTGGCTCACACCTGTCTTCCTAGCAACTCAGGAGGCTGAGATCTGAGGATTGGGGTTCAAAGCCAGCCTGGGCAGGAAAGTCTGTGAGACTCTTATCTCCAATGAACCACCAGAAAACCAGAAGTGGTACTGTGGCTGAAGTGGTAGAGCACTCACCTTGAGCTGAAGAGCTGAGGGACAGCGCCCAGGCCCAGAATTCAAGCCCCATGACCAACCAAAAAAAAAAAAAAGGGCACAAGACAAAACCGAGAAATTTAAGATCCCACAGGAAAAGAAAAAAAGGTTGGGAAAACAATTAAAATGTTGGGCCTGGGAAGGTGGTTCAGTGGTAGACTGCTTGCTTCCCATGCATGAGGCCCTGGGTTCGATTACTCAGCACCATATAAGCAGAAAAAGCCAGAAGTGGTGCTGTGGCTCAGTGTGGTAGAGCACTAGCCTTAAGCTGAAGAGTTGAGGGACAATGCTCAGGCCCAGAGTTCAGGCCCCACAATCCAAAAAAAAAAAAAAATTAAAATGTTATTTAAAATATGGGAAGGTGGCTCAATGGTAGAGCACTAGCTTTGAGCTGAAGAGCTGAGGGACAGCACTCAGGCCCAGAGTTCAGGCCCCCTGACCAACCAAAAAAAAGTAAAATAAAATAAATATTTATTTATTTATGTGTGTGAGTATACATATATCACATTATATGTATTACATATTATATTATTATAGATTGGTATATATTAAGTATACAGCAAAACATTTTAAAAGATACTGTTTTTGTTGTTGTTGGTTGTGGGGCTTGAACTCAGAACCTGGGCAATGTCCTTGAGCTCTTTTGTTCAAGGCTGGCACTCTACCACTTTGAGCCACCGCACCACTTCTGGTTTTCAGGTGGTTAATTGGAGATAAGAGTCTCACTGACTTTCTTGCTTTGAAGTACAATCCTCAGATCTCAGCCTCCTGCGTAGCGAGGATGAGGATGATAGGAGTGAGCTACAGGCGCCTGGCTAGAAGGTAGTTAGATACTCACTTTTAAAAAATAAATAACAAACCAGAGTCACCAGTGTTTAGAGCCTAGTCCAGTAAGAAGCCCACTCCCTGCATCACCTCTAACTGTGCAGGCATTGTTATTAGAATGTTACCTATGTGAATAGACAGATTATTTTTTGTTACACAAACTATGTGGGGTTTTTTGTTTGTTTGCTGGTCCTGAGACTTGAACTCTGAGTCTGGGTTGTCCTTGAGCTTCTTTTGTTCAAGGCTAGCGCTCTACCACTTGAACCACAGCATCACTTTTCTGGGTAGTTTATTAGAAGACACTCATGGACTTTGGCTGGCTTGAACCATGATCCTCAGATCTCAGCCTCCTGAGCAACTAGGATGACAGGGTGAGCCACCAGCTCCCAGCTAAGCTATATATATTTTTTTTAGTTTGGGAACTTCCTAAATCTCGCAAGGTTCTATATCTTTATGCTTTCATTATCCTCTATCTTAGCATGTGTATCTTTTTAAACATTGACTCTGGTGCCTAAAAGCAAGTATTCCTGAGTCTGTGTTTGAGAACACATCAAACCACTGAAACCATGAGCTGAGGTCTCAAGCTGGTCCATACAGAAACAGAAAGCTGACAACACAGCTGGTGAAGGACCATTGGGTGAATTTAGCTTCCCTGATGGGGTTTGCCCACTCCAAACGTATTTTCAGGCCACAGCATCAGCCTCTGTCCGGCAACCCTGCTCATCCACATGCCCATCTGTCACAATGTGGCAACCAAAGCCACAGTGCTGCAATCTATCTCATTAGATACAGCCAAACCTGCTCCTTGGTCTCATAGTCTTGGAGGTTGCGTAAGTCATCCACTGGAGAAACAGCACAACCAGACAAGGGCGGGTCCACAAAGCCCCACACAATTAGGGAAATGCTAAAGCACAGCCACCAATGGTCATCAATGTATACAATGTACTTCAGTGTTCAACGTGCAACCTCCCGACTCTCCTATTTCACGTCACAGAAGTATTCTACATATATCTGAGCACAGGTATACAAAGACAAATGCAAGCTTCCTAATTGTTCTGGGCTAAGATGGACACTTCCACTCCAGCATTTTGCTGGGTAATGATATCAAAGTCTGTTAGACTTTCCTGCTAGGCTGGCTTTGAACCAACATCCTCAGATCTCAGCTTCCTAGGTAGCTAGAATTTAGGCATGAGCCTCCAGCACTTGGCTTAAAAGCTGTATCTTTTTAAACATTGTTGTAAAAGAAAAAGGAAACAAGATAATATAAGGAGGGCTGGGAATGTGGCTTAGTAGTAGAGTACTTGCCTAGCATGCATGAAGCCCTGAGTTCAATTCCTCAGTACCACATTAACAGAAAAAGCCAGAAGTGGCACTGTGGCTCAAATGGTAGAGTGCTAGCCTTTAGCAAAGGAAACTCAGGGACAGTGCCCAGGCCCTGAAGTCAAACCCCAGGACTGGCAAAAAAAAAAGAAAGAAAGCAAGAAAGAAAGAAACTGACAATGAATCTGTGTCTTTGTAATTTCATTTTCCTCCTGTTTTCTTCTCTTTGTTCTTTGTCTGTGTGCTTGGTGGCAGTGGCTTTGAACCCAAGTACTCATGAATGCCAGGCAAACACTCTAACACTTCTACACCCCCTAGCCCTTCCCCCACCCCTCCCCACTTAGTGATATCTTCATGTGGACTACCACCCATCTGCATCCATCACAGTGCAAGTGATCAGATTACAGCTTTCTTTACCATGAGGGTCCACCCCCCCCCCGCAAGCAGAACTGTCCAATTTATATATCCACCAGTCCCCCAAACCCCCCAAACTATCTCATAGGGTGGATTACAATAAATACAAACAGCGCACATACAGGCAAGCCCAGAATTTTAGCTTCCTTTGAGGCAAAAATTGAAAATCTGAAAGAGATATTTTAACAAGAAAAGTGGTCAACATTTCAGCCAGGATAACATGGATAAATCAGGACCAGCTCTCTAAACCACGTCTGCTGTACAGTTTCAGCCAATGAAATCCAATCCCTTTGAGCGATGGGGTCAGATTGCACGTTCTCATCCTTCTCACCTTCCCGAAGGCAGATGCTCCGGCACAGATGTGCGTGTAATTGAACTGCTTCTGAGTCTCCAGAATCAATGGTGTCAGCTCCTCTGGGAAGGAAACGCACTGGGTAAGCACATCTCATAGTGTTTTCACATGCACACACTCCAGCAAGCGTAGGAACTATACCCCGCCCTGCGGGAGACCCACCTGGAAGAAGGCCTTTGTATGCATCATGCTGAGCCACCAGAACTTTGGCCACGCCTGCCACCTTGCACAGATCTTCTGCCACCTGTGATTAACACAGAAGTGCCCAGTTATCTGTCTATGAGAAATATGCAGAGAGAGCCACCACTACAAATAGCAAGCCAGCATAAAACCATTCTTTTTATATTTTGGGCAGTGGTGGGGTTTGAACTCAGGGCCTCCCTTGCTAGACAAGAACTTCCTGACTCATGCCTGAGGCTTTTTACTTTTGGTTTGTTTTTCAGAGAGAGTCTCAAAAACTTTGCCTGGGCTATCCAGGAAATGCAATCCTCCTGTTTCCACTTCTCAAACAGCTAAGATTACAGATCTGCACTACCATGCCTGCTTCTCTACTACATAAAATCTTAGTGGACAACTATAAAAAATCATTCTTAGCTAGGCCCCAGTGGCTCACACCCGTAATTGAAGCTACTAAAGAGGCTAAGATCTGAGGATCAAGGTTCAAAAGCCAGCCCAGTCCATGAGACTCTTATCTCCAATAAACTACCAGAAAACCGGAAGTGGCACTGTGGCTCAAGTGGTAGAGCGCTAGCTTTGAGCTAAAGAGCTGAGGGACAGCACCCAGGCCTAGAGTTCAAGCCCCACGGCTGACAAAATAACAATAATAATAATAATAATAATACAGTTTAGGAAGTAGAGCTGTGGCTCAAATGGTAGAGCACTAGCGTTGAGTAAAAGCTAAGAAACAGTGACCAGGCCCTGGGTTCAAGCCTTAGTACTGGCACACAAAACAAAACAAACAAACAAAAGATGTTAACAGGAATTTAAAAAAAAAAACATATACCTTGGACTAGGAATGCAATTTAGTGGTAGAGTGCTTGCCTAGCAGGCATGAAGCCCTGGGTTCAATTCCTCAGTACTACATAAACAGAAAATGCCAGGAGTGGCACTATGGCTCAAAGTGGTAGCGTGCTAACCTTGAGTGAAAGAGCTCAGGGACAGTGCCCAGACCCTGAGTTCAAGTCCCATGACTGGTCAAAAAAAAGAAAGAAAACAAAAACATATACCTATACAGTATTATTAACCTCCTACAAAGATTCTAAAATACTAGACTATACAGTCTCTCTATATATGTACATACACACACATATCCTTTTTGTTTTTTAAATGGTCAGGGAGGTTAAACTCTGGGCTTGGGCACCGTCCCTCAGCTCTTCAGCTCAAGGTGAGTGCTCTACCACTTGAGCCACGGTTTTCTGGTGGTTTACTGGACTGGCTTTGAACTGAGATCCCCAGATCTCAGCCTCCTAAGTAGCTAGGATTACAGATGTGAGCCGACACCAGGCTTTTTTTTTTTTTTTTTAAGATGAATTTCATGTAAGGAATTAGAAGTTAACCAGCATTCGAAATCTGCATTACCAGGTGCTATATCAACAATTTAGAAAGAAATAAAACCTTTCAAAAGAAATACACTCTCAAGCCAAACACCAGTGGTTCAAGCCTGTAATCCTAGCTACTCAGGAGGTTGGGATCTGAGAATGAATCGTGGCTCAAAGCCAGCCAGGACAAGAAAATCCGTGAGACTCATATCTCCAATAAAATTAAAAAAAAGCCAGGCGCCCATGGCTCACACCTATAATCCTAGCTACTCAGGAGGCTGAGATCTGAGGATCGGATTCAAAGCCAGCCCAGGCAGGAAAGTCTGTGAGACTCTAATCTCCAATAAACCACTAGAAAACCAGAAGTGGCACTGTGGCTCAAGCGGTAGAGCGCTCGCCTTGAGCTGAATACAAGGACAGCGCCCAAGCCCAGAGTTCAAGCCCCATGACCGACAAAAAAAAAAAAAAAAACACCAGAAAACCAGAAGTGGTGGTTTGGCTAAAGTGGTAGAGCACTCACCTTGAGGTGAAGAGCTCAAGGACAGCGCCCAGGTGGAAAGTTCAAGCCCAACCCCAAAAAAAGAAAAAAGAAATATATTCTCTCTAGATTTATTCCTCTGATGTCCAAGCCCTCATCTCCACCCTTGGCGGTCCTACAGTGAGAGGGAGGGAGGGATGGCTCAAGCCTCATGAGTGCAATGGAAGTGCCCATCTACGGGGCAGCCAGCGGCCTGGGCCTGGGCCCTACAAACCGCACTGTCTCCCCAGGGTCCCCAGAACTCCAAGGCGGCCTCTCCCCAGGGTCGGTTTCCAAAGCTGTCACTGTCTTTTTAACAATGACCAAAACATCTCTTAGCAGCAGCTATCGTTTGGAAAGATGCTAGAAATTAAAAATTAACACCTACAACACGTGGTCCAGATTTATCACTTTCAGGAATTAGAAGCGGTGATCTGCAGGTATATCCATCAAAACAAAAAGTGATCAGCTGTTAACCTCTAAGCACGCTTGGAATATTACCATTCTCCTTGGTACCCAGTGGCACGGGAAGGTGCCAGGGGAACTAAATCAAGTATTCTGCCTCATTTCAAAAGACAAAATGTTCGGTGAGCAAACCTTTCAGTTCCTTTTTCATACACAGTAATGGTTGTGACATGGGCCATTTAATGAGGATTACAGCCCACTTTGGATGATGGGCCTCAGCATAATTCTCTGGTGCCATCTTTCCCTGTCTCCTGATGGAAATTACATTTGCTATGGCTGACCTTAAAAAAATCTCTCACCTTGTCACATTTGGTTCCAGCCACTAAGCAAGACACTTCACCTCCAAGACGCGTGGCTGCGGTGATGGCATTTAAGGTAATCGGTGCTAAGGAATCATTTGAATGCTCCGCTATTACCAGAGTACTCTGAAACCGGAGCAAGGAGGCCTGGAAAGAGAGAAAACTAAATTAAAAGGGTAAAAAGAAACGACTGTTATCATAGGATATTTACTTGTATTGTAATTGCCAAGCACATGTCCTTTAAAGAAAACTGTTGTGGATACAATAGTTTACAACCTATTTGTAAAACACCCAGTCAAATGCAAATCAGGTGGATCAGGAGGCTGAGATCTGAGGATCACAGTTCAAAGCCAGCCCCAGCAGGAAAGTCCAAGAGACTCTTATCCCCAATGATCCATCAGAAGCCCAGAAGTGGCGCTGTGGCTCAAGTGGTAGAACACTATTTGTGAGCAAAAAAAAAAAAAACAGAGGAAGCACCCAGGCCCTGAGTAAGACCCAGAACTGGCGTCAAAAAAACCCCACACCCAACAACAATAACAGCAGCATATCAGGATGCGTGTATCTACTATTGTATCTATCATTTGTTATTTCATTATTTCATTTATTAGTATTCATTTATTTTTCTGGTGCTACTAGTGTTTGAACTAAAGGCCCTGTACTTGCTAGACAAATGTTCTACCACTTCAGCCCCTGCTCCTAGCCCTTTTCACTTTATTTTTCTGGAGAAAGGGTCTTGAGCTAATGCCCAGGCCAGCCCTGAACTGCAATCCTGATCTCCATTTCTTAGACCTAGCATAGATATGTGGCTTCATTCAGCAATAAGGGTTGCATAGAGTCTAGTTATTTTTTGAATTAATTTATTGTTATTATAGAGGTGATGTACAGAGGGATTACAATGACATGGGTCAGGTAAACAGTCTCTACTGTCCCCTCCTTCTCTCCCAGTCCCTCCTTGACATCTCCATCCATGAGTTGTATAGTTCACTTTCATCAGGGTCCAGTGAGCTCCGCTGCTGCACTTTTGAGTCTAGTCACCTTTAAAACGCCATTCCTGGGCTGGGCATGTGGCTTAGTGGTAGAGTGTTTGCTTAGCATGTATGAAGCCCTGGGTTCCATTCCTCAGTACTGCACAAACGGAAAAAGCCAGAAGTGACGCTGTAGCTCAAGTGGTAGGGTGCTAGCCTTGAGCAAAAGAAGTTCAGGGACAGTGCCCAGGCCCTGAGTTCAAGCTCCAGGACTGACAAAAAATAAAATATAATGAAATACCATTCCTTACTCAGGAGCTTACTCTCCTCATATGCAAACTGCAAAGTATGAACTAGATCGTAAGTTTTTTGTTGTTGTTGTTGTTTTGTCAGTCCGTGGGGCCTGAACTCTGGGCCTGGGCACTGTGTCCCTCAGCTCTTCAGCTCAAGGATAGCACTCTACCACTTGAGGCACAGTGCCACTTCTGGCTTTTTCTGCTTATGTGGTGCTGAGGAATCGAACCCAACGCCTCATGCATGGGAGGCAAGCACTCTACCACTGAGCCACCTTCCCAGCCCCTAGATCATAAGTTTTTAAACTACCCTTAATAGAAGGGTTCCAGAAAGGCAAGCGTGGGAGCCAACTTCACATTCAGTAAGAGGGGAACCAGGCAAACAGGGCTATGATGTACCCTTGGCTTTGCTTTAACTAGATTAACCAAACATGTACAGAGCTGTTTTACTCTTAAATTTGTTGTTCCTGTTAAGTAGTTGTGCACAGGAGGTACCATTTAACAAAGTGGTTACTGAATACAGTGCATCTTGATCAGTGTCTCCTTCAACCTTCCCCGACCCACCCCTTCCCTTACTTTTCTTAATTTTGTATTACACACAATGAATTCTTGACGGCATTCTCCCCTCTCCCCCACTTCTTTAGTCTCCCTTCTCCCCGTGGCCCCACCCCCCACCTTACATGCTCCCATTTCCTGGTGCTGATTTCACTGGGCTTTGACCTAGTCTTCCTAAATAATTCCACTATTACCTGGTGCTGGTGACTCGCACCTGTAATCCTAATTACTCAGGAGGCTGAGATCTGAGGATTGTGGTTCAAAGCCAGCCTGGGCAGGAAAATCCATGAGACTCTTGTCTCCAATAAACCACCAGAAAACCAGAAGTGGCGCTGTGGCTCAAGTGGTAGAGTGCTCGCCTTGAGCTGAAGAGCTGAGGGACATGCCCAGGTCCAGAGTTCAAGCCCTACAACCAACCAAAAAAAAACAAAAAACCTTCCACTGTTTGGATTCTCCATAGAGTCTATTACTCTTCTGTTTTGGTTTTAGTGTCCTATTTAAAACTCACAGGTGGCCGGGTGCCGGTGGCTCATGCCCAACATCCTAGTTACTCAGGAAGCTGAGATCTGAGAATCATGGTTTAAAGCCAGCCCAGGCAGAAAACTGCCTGTGAGATTCTTATCTCCAATTAACCACAAGAAAACTAGAAGTGGAGCTGTGGCCCAAGTGGTAGGGCACTAGCCTTGAACATAAAAGATCAGGAGATCACAGAGATCAGGCCCTGTGTTCATACTCCATGACCAAGAATAAATAAACAAGCAAACAAACCTCACAGGGCTGGAGATATTAAGTGGTAGAGTGTATGAAGTATGAGGCCCCTGAGTCAAAACCCCCACACAACAAAAAATGAATAAGTAAAACGGAGTTAGTTCACAAAACCACTGTGATGTAAAGCAGGTTATTCTTAGTCTAGGTGGTCTAGGCCCTTAGTCACTAGATCACATCAAAGTATCACCACTAGCAGCTGGGGGTTTTTGGTTGGGGGATGAGGGGTGCCAGTAGTGGGTCTTGAACCCAGTTCAGGGCCTGGGTGCTATCCCTGAGCTTTTTCACTCAAGGCTAGTGCTCTATGATTTGAGCCAGAGCTCCAATGCCTTATTTTTGCTGTTTAATTGGAGCTAAGAGTCTCATGGATTTTCCTGCCCAGGCTGGCTTTGAACTGCAATTCTCAGATCTCAGTGTCCTAACAACTAGGATTACACTTGTGAGCCTCCGGCACCTGGTTCAACAGTTTTTGGGCTTGGTTTTTTCTTTTTGGTCCGTTGTGGGGCTTGAACTCAGGGCCTGGGCACTGTTCCTGAGCAATTGTTGCTCAAGGCTAGCACTCTACCGCTCTAAGCCACATTCCCAGCCCAAGGTCTGCTTCTTAACTCAAAAAAATAAAAGACTAAGATTAAGCTATAAAGTCTTTCTAAACCCTACTGAAAAGGGTAATATATAATTGAAGTCACCAATCCCTATTTTTAAATACATTTTGTAATTATGAACTGCATATTACATTCTTGTACTTAAACTATTTTAACCTCTTGGGTAATATAGCAGCTTTTCATTATGACGAGAAATGTCATATGACATTGATTATAATATTAAAAACAGTCAATTACTTCACTTTAAAAACAGAGTCTTAGTGGACACACTGGCAGGCAGCGTAATCTTACAGAATTCACCTTGTGCAATAAATTTTCCTTCAGAACTGTACAATACTGGAGCTCTTTCTTCTTGCAAAAGAAATTGAAATTTGCATGTGAATTAAAGTTCATTCATCAGGACTAGACATTGGACCCTAGAAATGGTCCTTTTTTTTTTTTTTTTTTTTTGGTCAGTTGTGGGGCTTGAACTCTGGGGCTGGGTGCTATCTCTGAGCTCTTCAGCTCAAGACTAGTGCTCTACCACTTGAACCAAAGCGCCACTTCCAGTTTTTTGATGGTTCATTGGAGGTAAGAGTATCACAGACTTTACTGTCCAGGCTAGCTATGAACCACGATCCTCAGCTCTCAGCCTCCTGAGTAGCTAGGATGACAGGCGTGAGCCGCCAGCACCCAGCCAGGGTCCTGTTTCCTCATTCTGGTGCCTGCCAGGGGACCTGGAACAAGGTGTTCAGTACATTCAGTGACCCTCAAAGTACTGCTTTACTACACACATGAGATGGCACCCAGCATCTTATTAGTGAACAAACCAATTTTAAAATAAATTAATAAGCCAGGTGCTGATGGCTCACACCTGTAGCTACTCAGGAAGCTGAGATCAGAGGGTCAGGTTTTGAAGTCAGCCAGGGCAGGAAAATCCATGAGATTCTTATCTCCAGTTGACCACAGAGAAAGCCAGAAGTGGTGCTGTGACTCCAGTGGTAGAGTGCTAGTCTTGAACAAAAAAGAGCTCAGAGACAGCACCCAAGCCCAGAGTTTGAGCCCCGGGACAAGCAAAAATAAATAAGAATCATAAACAGATGCTAAAGCTGGTGGGTGAAAGTCTGTAAGAAACAGAAGAGTATTGCTGTCTCAATATGTCTCCTCAATTAGTTAAAAAAAATTACAAGGAAGGGGCTGGGAAGGTGGCTCAGTGTAGAGTGCTACCTTGCATGCATGAGGCCCTGGGTTCGATTCCTCAGCACCACATAGGGAGAAAAAGCTGGAAGTGGCGCTGTGGCTCAAGTGTTAGAGCACTCGCCTTGAGCTGAAGAGCTGAGGGACAGCGCCCAGGCCCACAGTTCAGGCCCCACAAAAATAAATAAATAAATAAATAAATACAAGGAAGACAGTGAAGGAACTTGGCAAAGAGCTCATTACCTAAATAACACCACAAGCAATGCAATAAACCACTGTACTTCTAAAACAATGTTGCTTTCATGATATTCTTGCCAAGGAGTCAAATCATAAGGGAAATACCAGCAAAACCTACATTGGGTAACAGACTACCAAATATGCCAAGGTCAGCTGGGCACCGGTGGCTCACGTCTGTAATCGTAACTACTCAGGAGCCTGAGATCTGAGGATATCAATTCAAAGCCAGCCCTGGCAGGAAAGTCTGTGAGACTCTTATCTCCAATGAACCACCAGAAAACTGGAAGTGGCGCCGTGGCTCAAGTGGTAGAGCTCTAGCCTTGAGCAAAAGACATCAGGGACAGTGCCTGGGCCCTTAGTTGAAATCCATGACTGATCAAAACAAAAACCAAAAAACAAAGCCAAGGTCCAGCCAGGTGCTGGACTGGTGGCTCATGCCTGTAATCCCAGCTACCAGGAGGCTGAGATCTGAGGACTGTGGTTCAAAGACAGCCTGGTCAGAAAAGTCTGTGAAACTTTTATCTCCAATTAACCACTAAAAAGCCGGAAGTGGAGCTGTGCTTCAAGTGGCAGAGTGCTAGCTTTGAGCAACAGAGAGAGAGCGAACAGGCACTGAGTTCAAGCCACAGGACTGACACAAAAAAATACATAAAAAGTCAAAACAAGATTGAAGAACTTTTCTAACAATGCCTAAAGAAACACTAAAATTACATAGAAAGCACCCGTACAATCTTAGACCAGAATGAGAAAAATTTTGTATAACCAATATTCAATACTATCAGGACAACTGGCAAAATCTGAACACCTATAGACTAGAAAAGGGCACTGTATCATTGATAAACTTCCTGACTTGGTCAGGAAGTGGCACTGTGGCTCAAGTAGAAGAGCACTAGCCTTGAGCTGAAGTGCTGAGGGACAGCGTTCTGGCCCGGAGTTCAAGCCCCATAACAGACAAAAACAAACAAACAGGGCTGGGAAGGTGGCTCAGTGGTAGAGTGCTTGCCTTGCATGCCTGAGGCCCTGGGTTCGATTCCTCAGCACCACATAAGCCGAAAGAAAAAAGCCAGAAGTGGCGCTGTGGCTCAAGTGGTAGAGCGCTAGCCTTGAGCTGAAGAGCTGAGGGACAGCACCCAGGCCCAGAGTTCAGGCCCCACGACCAGACCCAAAAAACAAACAAACAACAACAAAAACTCATGCTCTCAAATAGTTCAGAAAATAATTAAGTGTACCTATGTGGAAAGAAAAGAACACACATCTACTACTAATGGCTGTTGAAATTCAGGGAGAAGTTCCAATCATTCTTTGTATTACTCTTGAAACTTTTCTGTAAGCTTAACATTATTTCAGCATCTAAAAAGCTAAAGAGGTATTACATGTCCATTTTTAGAAGTGTTTCCACCATTTTTTAAATGCTTGAAGTGCAAATCTCTAAAACATTCTTAATGACTTTAGAGCAGCTATGCCAGTAAGCCAGATCCAAATTTTAAAAATAAGTCAAGGTCAAAGTCCTTGGTAAATCACGGTTTGGAAATACTGTGCTGGTACATTGGTTAACTGTGTGGATATTAAGAATTTTTTTAAGTGTTCCTTCCACTTTTTTTGTTACTCTACAAAATTATGTAGTGCTAAAAATCCCCCACAACTATGTAAGACATGTAACCTGTCCACAAAACTGTTTTCTAATTATTATGTAAGTATATTTTCTATAACTGTAGGTATGATTCTTCAGCTTTTAACTTGTTTATGTCTAGATATTCTAAGAAAGAACAATCTCCGGGACACTAAACTGAAGGATGTGTTTGTACTCTGTGGGGGAAAGAGGGTCAAAGTTTTCAAAGAACAGGAATAACCACCTAAAGGAAAAAAAAAAAAAAGTCCACAAACTTGCAGAAAGACCAGTAGTTATGTCTTAGAGATAAGTCCCAACAGTGACTGGGAAAATACCTATCAATTCAAGATGCCTACCAATAAAAAAAAAAAAGTGGTAGAAAAGTTATAAAGCAGCAGGTGGCTCCCGCCTGTCATCCCAGCTACTCAGGAGGCTGAGATCTGAGGATCATGGTTCGCAGCCAGCCCAGGCAGGAAAGTCTCTGAGACTCTCATCTCCAACTGGCCACCCAGAAAAAGCCGGAAGTGGAGCTGTGGTTCAAGTGGTAGAGCGCCAGCCTTGAGCACCAGAAGTTCAAGGGCAACGTCCAGGCCCCGAGTTCAAGCCTAGGGCCGGCACACACGGGGGCGAACGCGGCCCCAGCCTCGGTCCAGCGAGCGGCCGGGCCCCGCGGGGACCCAGGCCCGGGCCGGGGCTGCGAACCCGGGGGATCCGGAGGCCCCCTCCGCTGCGACACTGTCCTCCCCGGGTCCAACTCCCCTCAGATCGTGGCTGTTGCTCCCCACAACCGCGGGGAGCCCCCACCCCCCGAAAGGGCAACGGGCCGGGGGGAGGCGCAGAGGGAGGGGTGGGACGGCCTCCCGCAGGGTCGCCCTGACCTTTGACCCCTGACCCCTGCGGAGAGAACTTGCAGCCAAGACACAGCTTTTCCGTCTAGGGTCGCTCTGACCCCTGACCTCTGCCCCCTACGGGGTGACCCTGCGGCACAGACGCGGCTTTCCGTACAAGGTCGCTCTGACCCCTGGCCTTTGCCCCTGACTGGTAACCCGGAAAGAGTGAAGGGCTGGCAGCAGAAGCCCGGCCCCGAGCGCCAGGTCAGGCAGGGCCCGGGGAGTCCAGGGCGCCAGGGTGGCCGCCGCGGGGAGCGCCGGGACTCACCGCCCGCCGGAGCCGCCCGGGAGCCGCCGCGCGCAGCATAGTCTCGGTTCTCGTGGGCCCGACTGACGTCCGCGCAGCGACGCACCGCGCGTCACAGCAGCCCCGCCTCCCGCCGCGCACGCCAGCGCTCGCGAGACGCTGAACGAGGCTCCCGGGCCCGTGTGAACGCGCAGCTCCCGCTCGCTCATTGGACGGTCGCTCAGCCAATGGGATCGCGGAACGCTAGGGGCTGGGGTTAGATGTGGGGCAGAGGTGAGGCGGTGGGGGGGGCGTGGCGGGGCGGTGGGGGGGCGTGGCGGCGGGGGCGTGGCGTGGCGGCGGGGGCGTGGCGTGGCGGCGGGGCGTGGCGGTGGGAGGCGTGGTGGGGCGGTGGGGGGCCGTAGCGGCGGGGGCGGGGCGGCGGGGGCGGGGCGGGGCGGCGGGGCGTGGCGGTGGGAGGCGTGGCGTGGCGGTGGGGGCGGGGCGGGTGGGGGGCGGGGCGTGGCGGTGGGGGCGGGGCGGTGGGGCGGGGCGGGCGGTGGGGCGTGGCGTGGCGGTGGGGGCGGGGCGGCGGGGGCGGGGCGTGGTGGTGGGGGCGGGGCGGGCGGTGGGGGCGTGGCGTGGCGTGGCGGTGGGGGGCGTGGCGGCCCGGGCGTGCGGCTGCGCCGCCGGCGGGGACCGGCCGGGCCGGGCTGTCCACACGGCTCCCCTGCTTATCCGTTCTCAGTTTCAGCGCTGCATCCATCTTGTGCCAAATCACACACAGCCCGGGCCAGGTGAGCGGAATCTGATACAGAAACGCACAAGGTCCAAACGCGCGGGTAAACCCGATCGTTCTTGTTAAGGGGTTCAAAGAATTGGTGGTTTGGGGCCGAATTCTAGAGCAAGGAGACCTATGGACACAACCCGCGAGAGACAGGACCCCCCCCAAGTAATGACAAGGGCGGGACTGGGGTGCTGCCCACCGAGGCAGAGCGGCCGGCACCGAGCTGCAGGTGAGCTTCGCGCCGGGGTGACTGAGCCCCGCCGGTCCCCCTTCCCCCCACGTCCCCTGCGCCCTGGCAGCTACAGCACACGACCTGGGTGCACCTGCCCGCCACCTGCCCACTCCTGACCTTTGTATCTGCCGCATCCTCCTTCCTCCTAGACGTCTCCTCTACTGTCCCCCGAAACTTCACACCCTGCTCCACCTCAGAGGAGGAGAAAAGCCACTTTTTTTGTTTTTTGGTCGTCCTTGTGCGGCCTCATGCTCTTCAGCTCAAGGCTAGCGCTCTACCACTTGAGCCACAGCACCATTTCCAGCTTTTTCTGCTTATGTGGTGCTGAGGAATCGAACCCAGGGCTTCATTCATGCAAGGCAAGCGCTCTACCACTGAGCCACCTTCCCAGCCTGAAAAGTCACCTTTGAAAGCAAGTCCAGCCGGGCGCCAGTGGCTCACACCTGTCATCCTAGCTACTCAGGAGGCTGAGTTCTGAGGATCGCAGTTCAAAGCCAGCCTGGGCAAGGAAAGTCTGCGAGACTCTTATCTCCAATAAACCACAGAAAACTGGAACTGGCGCTGTGGCTCAAGTGGTAGAGCACTCACCTTGAGCTGAAGAGCGCAGGGACAGCACGCAGGCCCAGAGTTCAAGTCCCATCACCCACTAAAAAAAAAAAGAAAAAAAAGAAAAGAAAAGAAAGCAAGTCCAGGCAGGCACTGGTGGCTCGTGCAGTATCATGCGGTAATCCTACCTACTCAGAACTGAGCTTATCAGACCTCAGTTCAAAGCCAGCCTGGGCAGGAAAGTCTGTGAGATTCTTACCTCCAGTCAACAACCAGAAAGCTGGAAGTGGTGCTGTGGCTCAAGGAAAGTGGTAGAGAGGAAGTCTTGAGCAAAAGAGCTCAGGGACAGTGCTCAGGCCCTGAGTTCAAGTCCCACAACAGATCCTGGATAAAATAAAATAAAAAAGCCTAACTGATACACGATAAAACAAACCTCTAGGCATTCACCCACAGTGAGACCAAAGGAAGATATTCTTAGGGGAGGGACACAAAGGCGCAGGGCCTGTGTACTTCTGCTCATATAAAATACTTGTCAAAATGAACTCCAGAAAATGGAAACGAGATTTTCTTCCTAAATTGCTGGTTTTGTTTTCTTTTTGTCTTCTTTGTTCATTCTTCTGTCTTTGGGAGGGTAAGGGAGGCACAGAATTGGAGGGACAATGGTGGACAATTGCAGCCGTGGTGCTCACTGGACACTGTGGAATATGAACTCAACTTGTGGGTGGGGACGGGAGGGAAAAACTGGGAGAGAGTAGGGAAAGGGATACTCCTTAGACAGGGACTCATTACCTGTCTTATGTAGCTTCAGCCTCTCTGTATATCACCTTTATAACAACCATTTAAAAAGGGGGGACTGGAAAGGTGGCTCAGTGGTAGAGCGCTTGCCTTGCATGCCTGAAGCCCTGGGTTCGATTCCTCAGCACCACATAAGCAAAAAAGAAAAAAACGGAAGCGGCGCTGTGGCTCAAGTGGTAGAGCGTTAGCCTTGAGCTGAAGAGCTGAGGGACAGCGCCCAGGCCCAGAATTCAAGCCCCATGACTGACAACAACAACAACAACAAACTTAAAGCCTAAGCTGGATCCCAGTGGCTCACACCTGTAATCCTGGCTACTCAGGAGTCTGAGATCTGAGGATCATGGTTCAAAGCCATCAAGGGCAGTAAAATCTGTGTATCTCCAAGGAAGCACCCAAAAAAAGTTGGAAGTACAGCTGTGGCTCAAGGGCTGGGAAGGTGGCTCAGTGGTAGAGCGCTTGCCTTGCATGCATGAGGCCTTGGGTTCTATTCCTCAGCACCACATAAACAAAAAGAAAAAAGCCGGAAGTGGTGCTGTGGCTCAAGTGGTAGAGCGCTAGCCTTGAGCTGAAGAGCTGAGGGACAGCGCCCAGGCCCCGAGTTCAGGCCCCACGACTGACAAAAACAACAACAACATCAGCTGTGGCTCAAGTGATAGAGCACCAGCCTTGAGCACAAAAGTTCAGGGACAGCGCCATGGTGCTGAGTTCAAGCCCCAGAACCAACACACACATCCACACAAAGAAAAAGCTATCTCAAGTAGCATCTCTATAAGACCCTCTACCCCAGGATGAATGAATCATTTTCCCTTCTGCCCGTCAGGTGAAAACCAATGGTTACCGAATGTACACCCATGTGTTTCCCCAGGGGGCTGGGCCCACTTCACCCCGGCCTCTCCTCTTCCACTGAACTCAAATCTGAGTCATAGGACAATGGAAGGAAGAGAGAAGAGTTCCTGAAATTAAAAAAAAAAAAACCTTTAAAAAGCATATTGTACTAAAAGCATATTTAAAACCTGGAATAGGAGCTAACCTCCTCTTGCTACCCGGTCCATGACAATGCAAATGGCATTAGGGGAAGCCACCTTCCCACCCTCATGCTTGGGGTGGCTGCCACTTCCCAGGCCCCGTGAATCAGCAGCCACGATGCTTGCCAGAGGCACCGTGCCCGGGGGACCTGGCGATTCCTGGCAGAGCGGGGCCAGTGCAGGGGAAGAGGTAGACGTCATGGCCAGATCCTGTGGCAAGAGAACAGAGCGTCGCATACCCTGGAGAGCTCCGTGAAGAGCCCCCAAAAATGTGTGGCCTGAGAACACTGACCAGAGAAGACTTTCCTGTAGGTATACGGATGGATGTTAAACACTGAGAGCTGAGATCATGGTTCAAAGCCAGCCCGGGAAGGAAAGTCTATAAGACTCTTATCTCCAATGAACCACCAGAAAACCAGAAGTGGTGCTGTGGCTTAAGTGGTCAAGCGCCAGCCTTGAGCTGAAGAGCTGAGGGACAACGCCCAGAGTTCAAACCCTATGACCAACAAAAAGAAGAAGACGGAGACGAAGAAGAAGAAGAAGAAAGCTGGGGACCAGTGGCTCACACCTGTCATCCTAGCAGAGGCTGAGGTGTAAAGATGGCAGTTGGAAGCCAGCCCAAACAGGAAAAGACCATGAGATTCTTCTCTCCAGTAAACTACTGAGAAAAAGCCAGAAGTGGCACTGTGGCTCAGGTGGTAGAGTGCTAACCTTGAGTGCAAAAGCTCAGGGACAGCGCCCAGCACCCAAGGCCTTAGTGGAAGCCCCACAACCAACAAAAAGAAAAAAGAAAAGAAAAAGACAAGAAGAGGACGGTTGGTGGATCACCCAGGTAGTAAAGCCATCAAGGGTCACCAGCCTTGTCACCCCTTCTCAATCCTCCCTCACAAGTGTCTTTGCTGGTCTCATGGCTCCTCTATGCTCATGGCCATGAGTCTGAGGGTAAACTGAGGCCTTCGAGATAACTTGAGATGCTGGCCTTTCTCAAAGTAGCGTTGCCAAAGGATGCTGGTCTCCTGGCACAACCCAGCAAGGGCAAACACTCAAGTATCTTGAAGATCACGCCACTAAAATATGACTTATTCATTTATTTATTTATTTAGTCGGTCGTGGGTCTTGAACTCTAGGCCTGGGCGCTGTCCCTCAGCTCTTCAGCTCAAGGCTAGCGTTCTACCAGCTGAGCCACAGCGCCACTTCCCGTTTTCTGGTGTTTTATTGGAGATAAGAGTCTCATGGATGTTCCTGCCTGGGCTGGCTTTGAACCAAGATCCTTAGATCTCAGCCTCCTGAGTAGCTAGGATTACAGGCATGAGTCATCGGTGCCCAGTGACTTATTTTCGTGTGTGTTGATATTGAGCTTGGCCTAATGCTCTCACTTGGCTTTTTTTTTGCCAGTCCTGGGGCTTGAACTCAGGGCCTGGGCACTGTCCCTGAGTTTATTTTGCTCAAGGCTAGCACTCTACCACTTGAGCCATAGCGCCACTTCTGGCTTCTTCTAATTATGTGGCACTGAAGAATTGAACGTAATACATGCTAGGCAAGCACTCTACCACTGAGCCACCTTCCCAGCCCTTGGCTTTTTTTCCTCAAGGCTGAATCTCAACCACTTGAGCCACACCTCCAACTTCCACTTTTGTGTAGTTCATTGGAGATAAAAGTCTCATGGACTCTCCTGCCTGGACTGGCTTCAAACCTTGGTCTTCAGATCTCAGCCTCCTGAGTAGCTAGGATGACAGGTGTGAGCCACCAGCACCCAGCCTTAAAG